TTAATTAATTTAATTACTTTTTTGTGGGGTGGTACAGGGTATTTAAGAGTTGAGCCTGCTCGACTATAGCATTCCTTTCTTGTTTCTAATCCCTTTTGAAAACAAACAAGTCACTAAACTTAATATTTTAACATTGTTTAGAGATGATTTGAATACCCTCCACTAGTGTTTTGCTTATGGGGTGTGCTCGTAAGTTTTAAATAACCAGAAGATCAATGGCAGATGGGCATGACCAGACGAATCCATTTTATTCACAACTCCTCCAAAAGTCGTTCCTTTTATGATAAAAATATTCTTCCTTAAATACCTTAAATATGAAGGCTTTAAAAATGTATTAGCAATTATTAGCTCCCTTTGCAAGAGTTGCTTCCGAAAGTTATAAGGTTTGGCTGTACGCAATACAAGGCTGGCTCTTTCGGACTCGCAGATTCATTACTGGTCCACAGCACGCTCGCCCAAAGGAAGTAATCCATTCTGCGTGTAGTTTTCAATATCACTTTCAGAGACAACTTCCTGCGCTGCATTTGGCGGCGCATCATCAAAACTGTTGGCACTTTGCATACAAATGTGGCTCGGTGCGCGACTCAGCTTATCGCAACATTTTAATAACTGCGACGGGGCCAAGAGCAACAAGCTACTTGCAACAGTAGTCGCAGCAGTTAAAGTCGTTGTCGGGGTGCGACGCTTTCATTAATTACCGAGAAAAGCGAGTTTTTTAGTTTATGCCGCACTTTTCCTGCCAGTCAGTCCAACACAGTCTATATATAAGCACGAGTGTTTTCCGCAGCTGACCAGCACGTCAACAAGTTACAGCAGCCCTAGGTCTAGGTCTGTACGGGCGGTGGTACTGGTTGGTACTTGGTTGTGCCTTATCTAGCGTTAACATCACGCAACATGCGCGTAATTTTATGAATGAAGTGGTGGACGCATCGGACAAACGGACCGAACAGGAACAGGGACCGAAGCAGAGGCAGCGGCAGCGGCAGACACAGGACTTGTGCTCTAAAGAACTGGTCAGGCAGTGGCGGCTTAATTGCGCTCGCACCTCTTTTTGCGGGCAGAGACGACGACAGTGGCAATGCCAGTGACTCCCCTTACCCTGGCCAAGAATATAGCAATGATCTCCAGCAGCGGCCAACACTTTGTCAGCCAAGTTAACAAATTGCGTTAAAGCTACGGCGATGCCAAGGTTTTTTTTGCCACCAAACCGGTTCTCTGCACATCTGGGATCGAGCGAGGCTGGGGCAGTCCGATTCAGATTCGCATCTGCACTTGTTGCATCAGCCCCGAAGTCTCTAGTACTGGGTACTGGTCAGAGCATCACCATTGCCTGAAACTGGAACTACGGCAATTGTAGTTTTTGTTTTGTTTTCCCGCTTCCCCACATCTCCTCTCCTCTCCTCTCCTCTTCGTTCCTTTCCTTTTATGCCTTTTCACTTGGCCAGCATACGACGCGCTTATTAAATATGATTATGCGTTCGATTGTAACGCGGTTCGCTGCACTTGTTCCAGCATGAATGGCCGGTCCTACTCGTATACTCGTACTTAGATGGGCCACAGGAAGTGGAGTCGCTTGCAGTTCCAAGCGCGCGCAAAGCGTCGTCACATTGGCGACAGCAACGACAGAGGCAGTGACAGAGACAGAGACAGCGACTGCGACAGCGACTGAGGCTCCAGCCCAGAGTCCAGGCTGCTGCCCACTTTTAATGAAGTTTTCCGTTTCGTGCTGCCGTTGGCTTTTCTAGCTGTTACCATTGCTGTTGTTGTTGTTGTTGCTGTTGTTGTTCTTCTGATGTTGCTGTTGTTGCCAGTGCCGTGGCTCTTGCAAGCTGTTGTTGGCAAAATAAAAATCCATTGCCCGTTCAAATGTTTTAATTAAAATTTAATGAATACAGCGTATTTAATTATGCATTGTTGTTGTTGTTATTGTTGTTGTTGCTTTGTGCTGGCGCTCACTTAAAGTATGCTGCAAATTAATTTTAATTGTTAGTTTTTTCTGCGCCAGTTAGTTGGGTCGGCATCTGGGTCGACCCCCTTTGCAATGTCGTGTTTGCTACACGGTGATTAAAATTACATTTATTAGATTTTATTTTGTCATTGAAATACAAACTATTTAGTTTCCCTCGCCCGAATCTTGTATACCCTTTAACAAAGCACACTTCGAAAATGCTATAAATTAAAAAGCTTAAGGAAGATATTATTTAAAATAAGAATCAATTTTTTTTTTGTAAATGTGCTGACCATGGCAGCTAAAAAATAATAGTGAGGCAATATCTGGTTTAGTGGGCGTAAGGATAAGATGAGTCTACACTCCAAGTTTTGTGTTCCTAGCTTCTATGTACAGTTCAAAGGATACTACTATAATGTTCATACAGGCGGATATGAAGGTAGTTAAACATATCTAACACATCGATTCGCCCACCAGGTGCAGGGTATAAAAGGGACTGTTCAGAATTATTTGCAAATGAATTTGTATTTTGTATTTTTCGTTGCCAATTCAATCAAGTCCGTTAGCAGTGTTTCAACTTTCAACAATAAATAAATCGCAAATTTAATATAAATACATAGTAAATAAACATTTGTAATCTTACGCACATGTTCAAAAGTCAACAAGCAAAGCAAACAAATTCAAATTCAAATTGCTGCACGAAAATAGTTTAGTAAATTTACAAATAATTAAACGTATCAACAACAAGGGCAAGGAATTAATGTGGGTTATGGCAATTTTAAGAGCACAATGGCAGTGACAGTATGAACAGTAAAAATGTATTATTTGAGAATTGAATTGCAAATAGCACACAATTAAAAGCGAAATTAATTATTTTCTATTATGTTTCGATACAAGTATATAAACTATATTTCATACTTTATAGAAAGTTAAAACTCTGCACCATCACTAAATATACATTTCTTTGCATATGAAAATAATTTTAAAATTTCAAATGGGAACGTGATGACTAGCTTAACGCTTATAAATAAGCATATAATGAGCATAGAATACATTATCAAATTATTTAAAGGTTAAATATTTGATTACTCATTTAGCATGCATTGATTAGTGCATATTTTACATTTTAAACAACAACTAGAACACTCCTGTAACAGAAAAGGATCACACATCCGTGCTAACAGGAATACCAACGAGCAGGCCTTCAGCAGAGCTTATCACCCATGTTATTGGCGTCTATAGAAGCTGCATTGACGAAGAAGAGTACGAAAGTATGGCGTACATATTCTGCCACTATGGTCTCCAATGGCCCTATCTTACTCCAACTTAAACAAGGCTTTATTTCTAAAACCTTCATAAGAGCCTAAATGTTAGCGTTATGGGAAAAGATGCACCGAAAAGGTCAGGCCTACTGCTTAAGCCATCCAAAGTCAATCCCGTTTCTTATTCACATGAACAAGCACCAATAAACCTAATTTATGCGAAAATTATGCTTAATATAATTGGATAGATGACGTTTTGTTTGGCAATCGAGAGCAGGGAGTCATTATCTCTTCAGTTTACACTGGACTACATGTCAGCTTTAATTTCAATACCAATTCAATTATCATAAGGGCGTACGCAGAAAGCAATTAACTTAAAAATCATTTATTCATGCGCTGCCTTAAGAAGTTATCTCTGTAGAACCATTTGTTTGACTTGAAGGCAAAAATATGCCTTGTAGACCACCGCATTGTTTAACTTTTGGCGGTGAAAGCTTTTGCCATGCTATGACCGCATATCGATGAGCATCGCATCGAGTGCCGGTTCCATAAATTAAGAAATAAATATTATTAGATGTGTCATTAATTAAGCGAGGCCGACGCAACGGTAAGGCAACTACGAGAATGTGTGAGGCTGAGGCAAGTAATGGCTCTGCCGCCATTAATTAATAAAATTTCACAGCACAAAGCCGGCTAGCCGCGTAGAGCCGCCATTCAGTCTGCCTCAAGAGAAAACAATTAGGCAGCGTTTAAGGTGCGAGCAGCCACGCCCCCTTCACAGAGCCCACAGCGCAGAAGAGATGAATACGAGTATAGTTAATGCGGTACGAATATGAGGCAGAGTAGTCAGAGCTGATTGATGACAACGGGAAAAATATTTCTGTTGCGGTAAATTCGAAGCCTGTGGAGCTCTGTCTGAAATATTAAAACCGAACAGGTGGTTGGCAGTGGTTGGGAGTGGGACAGCATTTGAAATGAGGAGCTCGCTTCAAAGGGGAGCGCCTGTCAAAATAATTAAAATTTATGTTAACAGCCATGTCGAAAGAAGCAGTTTGAAATTTCATTAGTGCCACAATCCCCAGGGAGAGCAACAAGCAATGCATATAAATAATTCAGGGTAATAAAGCTCTCTTTCTTAGTTTTCAAAAATTTGTAGTTTTTATTCAAACATTTTTGTTTTTAAATTACAAAAAAGTGTTTTGTTTTTTTTTTTCATTTTTTTTTGCATTTTGAAGCTTTCACTTGTAGCTTTAAATAAGTATTTTAAATATTAATTACATAGAGGGTACGATTCACTTTTAAATTTTATTTATTATACACATGCTTCACTTTTTGTCTTCTCGTTAAATGCAAAAATCTGAAGTCTAATTTGAATTAACGTCCTGTTGTTTTTGTTATTTTATTTAGCATAATTTTTGGCGCTTGCGCGTTAACAATCTTTATCATGTATATAATTTATTGTCATGCATGATAAAAATCGTAGAATTTCTTTGAACGTATGTAAGTATATATGTATATATGGAGTGCTTAGATCTAGGCGAAAATCACGCTTAAAATAGTTTTAAATATAATTTGGAAGTTGCTTTCTTTTTTTTTGTAATTGTAATTTACGTAATTATGTACTTGTATGTACTTCTTTTATGGTATGTATGTACCTAATAAATCTTGAATTTTTCGTTGAAATATTTGCGATTGTGCAAAAATTCGTTTCGGTTCGATTTGAATTATCATGTATAGTTTGTATATACGAGTATGTACTTGTATGTATGTATGTATATGAATGTGTCTGTATCTGTGTATATAAGTATAGTATTCTACTTGTAGATCTTAAACTTGAACAACTGCTAATGAGAATGAGTTCGAACTCGTTAATATTTATGCTAAATTCTAAAAATCGTAATTGCTACTACTTAACATAGAAAAAATGCCTACAAATTAGAATTGAGTGTGTGGTTGTTTCTGCTTTTTGTTGCTGCATCGTCAGCTTGTTGTTGTTTTCGATTTTGTGTTGTAATCTACGAACGCTGTGGCTGCGGTTGCGGCTACTTGTTGTTGTTGTGTTCATTGGTATTGTTGTGGATCGGAGCGTATTTCGTAGTCTCAGAGAGGGTGGTTGGTGGAGGAGGAGGGGGTTAGAAGAGAGTGCACCTGCACCTGAGGCGAACTGTGGCGGCCATTTGCATTGATTGATGTTGTTGTTGATGTCGTTGTCGATGTCGATGTCTGGGCCGCAGTGTGACGTGCGTGCTGAGTATCCAAGTATGTGTGTGTGTGTGTGTGTGTTTGTGCAATGCATGCCGCACGCCAGCGGCTGTTGAGGCGCAGGTACTTATCACAGCCTTTGAGCGCAGCATGCAAATGTCTTTTCTCAAAAAACATTCAACATGTTTTCTCCATTTGCGCTCCATAATCATTAACGTCATAATAGTCATAATAATTATAAACATAAAACAAAAGAGTATACAAAAAATAAAATATGACGACGCACAGCACAGCACAACACAACAACAAATCGAACATGCAATGCTTCTTAATTGATTGAACTGCAATCTTTGTTGTTGCTGTTGCTGTTGTTGCGTCTGTTGTCTGTTTTTGTTGTTGCTGCTGTTGGTGTGTCAATCAGTCTAGCTGGGTTTGGCTGGTGTTTTGTTTCGCTTCCAAGACATATAGCATTTGAAAGCGACGCCTTAGTATGTCTGTTAGAGAAATGAAAAAAGAGAAATGGAGAGGGGGAGAGAAATATAGGAAGAGGGTTAGGTCAGACTCCATTTAGGGCGCTCCCCAGTAATTTTCAACTCACCACTGGCGGATAAGACATGTACTTGTCACTCATATTGAAATACGAGCCATCTGCAGGCGGCGCCGGCGAAGGCGATGATATGTAACTGCCTTTAATGACCAGCGACGATGCAGGCGATGGTGATGGTATGTACAACCCGTTTGAGATGAGCATATGATCGTCCTTGGCGCGCATCGGCAGACCTTCGATCATGCCCGTGGCGCTATTGCGCTGACTGTGTCGCTTTGGATTGGGCAGAGTACGCGTAAAGTCTGGATTACAGAGCGGATAGGGTGGCGTGCACATGGAGCTCTCCTGGTATTTGGGTGGATACGCTGTGGATTGTATGATGTCGACGTTTTCCACCAGATATGTTGAGGCGGCCGCCTTTTTTTGAACATCCGCCTGTAAAGCAGTGATTGGCAGCTATATTAGCCATTCAATTAGCCATTAAAAGAACCAATCTTCTGCTGGGGATTAGTGGGTGAAATTACCTTATAGACAGACTGATTGTCATCCTTGGAATAGGCATCATCAGCGCTGGGCTCTGTATCGCCTTGGGTCTTATTCTGTCGGCGTATGACAAACCAGGCTACCAGGGCGGCATTCAACACAAGTAGCACCATTGCTGCCGAAGTAATTCCAATAATCATCACATTGGGCAGCTCATCCTTTTCCGTATACTCCGCCGACAGAGGTTGTGAGCCCTTGGCCAGTGTTAGCTTAATGTCGGGCAAGAATTTGCTACCCCCGGCCTCGTTGGCCGCCATCACTGAATAGTAATAAGTGGCTCCCGGCTTGAGACCATCCAATGTCACATTCTGACTCCCCGGCTTGGCATCCACATACTTGTACTTCTCCTCACCCTGCAGCTTGAAACGCACGCGATAGTAAACCTGCATACCCCCATCGAAACCAGGCGTCCACAGCAGCTCTACACTGCCATTATCAGTAACATTACCCACGTGCAGCTGCAAGGGAGCATCGGGACGAGTGGGTTTGCTGAACTCCAGGGTGGTGCTGGCCTGACCCAAACTATTCCGCACCACGCACTCGTATTGACCGTAGTCGTCGGGTGAGGTATTCTCCACCAGCAATGCCGACTCGTAGTGCAATGGATCCACCTGCCGTTCGATGGCCTTGAATTTGTTGCGTCGCTGCATCTTCAAATCCTTGCCGTGGCGGCGCCAAATAAAGTTTGGCTGTGGCGATGCCAGAGCGCGGCAAATGAGCTGAGCCCGCACACCCAAGCGTGCGGCAAAGCGTACAAAGGCAGGTGAATGCTCAATCTCCGGAGAAGCTGCAAAGTATTCAGTTAGGCTCGACCATCTCAAGCTTCGAAAAAGAAACTGCCATACGACTTACTTTGCACCACCAAGAGCACATTGTGGGCAGCTGCCGGACCCCGTTGGTTGTCCACACTGCAGGTAAAGTTGCCAATGTCGCCCCGCTGCACGTTTTCAATGTGCAGATAGGCCGTCCCGTTCTCGAAACTCGTTGTGGTGCGTGCCGACAGTTCGTAGCCGTTGCGTGACCAATGCACATGCGCGGCTTCAAGCGGACGTGCTTGTATGTGACAGGCCAAGACAGCCTGTTCGCCGGCCACAAAACTCTGACCCTCACTGACCGCTGTAATGGTGGGTGGATCTAGAGGGGGGAGCAAAAACAACAACTAAAGCATGAGTATTTGGCGATAAAGTGCTATAAATATTTTTCTACTTAGAAGTTACTAAAAATTTAATACGATTACGAATATTGTTTCAATAAGTAAGTTGCCACTCACATTCGACAATCACTTGCACTTCCATTAGTGCGGTGCCTTGCGTATTTATCGCCTCGCAAACATAGACACCTGCATCGTTGCGACTAAGCCGACTAATGTTAAGCCGTGGACCATCGGAGATCAAACGTTGACCTATTACCGAACTGCTGCCAATGGAGAGCCCGTCTTTTGTCCAAGTGTAACTAATTGCCATTGGATTGCCATTAGCATGTAGTTCGACTTGCAAAGGCGCACCTTCAACGCCCACAAAGCTCGTGACTTGGCCAGCATCGAATTTGGGAGGATCTGCGCAGAATAAATCTAGTTTCAAGGATGCTCTAGGATGAGGATTGACAGCTAAAGAACACTTACAGAGTATGTCGAGGCTAATGGTTTCATGCACGCTTCGTTGAAGAATTTCGTTGTGACTCTGGCAGGTGTAGATAATGCCATCCAGATCTTGCGTTATATTCACTAGCATCTCCAGAGTTGAGACCGAGCCACCCCACAGTCCCGGCTTATTGGCTAAATTAAGACCCTCCACTGGTATGCCATCCTTCCACCAGCTGATTTTTGCTGGTGGGTTGCTTGAACTCGAATCGCAAATAAGTTTGGCACGTATGCCAGGCACAAGGTTTTTAGGTACGACGCTGATTTTCACCGTTTCAGGCGGAACTAAGAGGAGATGGTTAAGTAAGTGAACACATACTACAGGCAGACTAACACCAGCGTCAAGATACTTACAATGTACGCTCAGGGTCTTGGTGGCAAAGAGTGGTATGTCGATGGCTGAATTCTGAACCTCGCACTTATATATGGCATTATTGTCCGAAGCATTGATCAGTATCGATAGCTCTGAGCTGATCTTGCTGTCTGTCACTTTATTAGCAGAATTGATACGTTTATCATTCTTGTACCATTGGAGCATGGGTGGGGGGTTGCCGCCAGTGGAGCTGCACTGCAGTTTCATGATGGAGCCAGAGATGAGAATGTCTCCATCGTTGTAGCCGGTAAGCAAAGGTGGCGATGGTGGATCTGAGGGTTAGAAAGATTACTTACTATAGTGAAGAGCGGCTGAAATGTAGTGCCCTTAACTTACACAAAACATTCACTGTATGGGATCCCACCACATTTTGTGTTAGCTCTGCATTTAGGGCATGGCAGACGGCCACAAAGGTGCGACTTTGCGAATCGATGCTCACACTAATGTTTGAACTGCTAATCCAGCCACCCTCCGAACTGATTGCTGTCTTGAAACTGCTATTTGTCAAGGGACGACCGTTCATAGACCAATTAATGCGTGCTGGTGGATTAGACTGGGCCGTCATACAATTTAATTGAACAGTGTCGCCTACTTTGGCTTCAGTGCTGCCGCTCAAATAAACGTCTTTGGGCGCATCTGTGGGGTGCAATTTTTTAAGTATCATGTGGCCATTCATTGACCTCGCAACTTACAAAGGACCGTAAGATTCAGTTCAGCTCGCAGAGGCGTTGTAGACAACAAATTCTTTGCCTCGCACACTAAATTAGCACCGTTGTCCGCTGTCGTGGCCGTGAACTTATACACGTTCTCTGAGAGACGACCCGAGGTACGTTGGGGTGAGTTAATCGCAACACCATTACGATACCAAACTAGCTGAGCAGGAGGATTACCGCCACGACTGCGACACGCGATTTGCAGCTGCTGTCCACGCCTTAATGTCTCGCCCTGGCTGTAGCCCTCGAAGAAGGGCGGACCTGGTGGATCTGTAGGTCAAGCTGACGTTAGCAGCCACACGGAGGTGATGCGAATGAGTACTTACATAGGACAGACAATTGCACCTGCGCGCGCATCGGAACATCCGGAGGCAGTGCCTTGTGGCGCGCCTCACAGGAAAACTCTTTGTAGTCGTCTTCTGCTCGGGGCTGTAACTTCAACACTGAGATGGTGCGGAAGCGTTTCGGGGAAGTTTCATTCACAGTCACAAGAGGAACTGCCAAGATAAAGAAATAATACTTAACAAGACGTTGGCATGGATAAGTAGAAGATGAGATATAAAAGATCCAGTCGATACAAATAAGTAGATTCGAAAATTGCTTCGAAATTCTTGGAGACTAGAAATTGTTTAATAGAACAGAGAATGAAGTAATTGAATTTTACTTACTCTGCTGAACGGGCGTTTCGCCCTGGTACCAGACAATTTCCGCTGCTGGATTCGCGTTTTCAGTGATGCACTGCAGAGTTAGGTTCTGTCGTTCCACAACCTCGACCTTAGCGTTGCGTGCATAGCCCTCAATAGCGATGGTGCTTGGTGCAGCTACAATGCTTAGTTTGGCGTTGGCACGTATGGCGGGATTTCCAATAGCTGGGCCCACCTGGCATTGGTACTCGGCATCGTCCTCGAGCGTGGCATTCTTGATTTGCAAATTGTATGTCCCATGTTTGGCATCCACCAGCACAGAGTAGCGTGGAAAACCCGGGATAACCGCAGAGAAACCCAGGGCAAACCCATCCTTGGTCCATTGCACTTTTCCGGCTCGCTGGGAGACCTCACAGCGCATCAGTGTGTCCGTACCCTCGAGTATTTGAAGATCGTGCGGCGTTACGCGAAACTTTTGCACGCCCGGCGCAGCGGGTGTCTGCGCGCTGGCTGAGCTACCACTAGCGGCTATAAAAAGAGAAAGACGGGACTGGTTAATCAGCACGTTCGACAATTTCGCACGTAGTGGGTGTGAAGTGCATCGGGCACAGTTCAATCGCCTTGTCAGCGGCAGCCCAGTTACCCACTTTTACAACCCACACACAATCACACATCAAATACATATTACTTAACCTTAAGCCCCGACAGTGCCGCTCAGGCACATCGCACTAATTTGGTACAAGTATATTTTTTTTCTCCCGCCCATCCGTTGGACCTTCCAACTGACTCACACAAACACATGTGGCAGGCCACTCTCAGGCTTGTCATTGAGACATGTCTGTTGTTCATTCGTTCGCACGCAGCAACCTACCGGCAACCCACACCTAAGCCTCGTGTAGGTCTGCTGGCCCAGTCAGAGTCACAGGCACTACTCCCTCAGCCACAGCTTGTGGCTCATTAGCATTAAAATGTCTTAAAGAAAAGAGCAAGCAGCCCGTGAGCCCCTGAGCCAGTGAGCCAGTGAGCCAGCCACGTTCGATACGAAATTGAACTGCCTGGCTGGCTGGCTGGCTGGCTGGCTGGCTGGCTGACTGGCTGGTTGGCTTTGTGTATGCGTCGGCCTAATCAGCATTAGAGCAATCTACATAGGTACTACTATGAAAAGGCCTGATCGACTGCACACTGAAACAGGGGCTGTGAGGAGTAACAAATAGTTTATCAACTACGTGGGAGATACAGTCTCATTCATCCCCTCCAGCTAATTAGTATTCTAAGGCACTAATCAGATTTGGTATCTTTTGACAACTAAACCATTTGCTAGGCTACACATTTTTCTAAAAGCTTCTGCCCCTGTTTGGTTTAATTGTGTTAGTGATAAGATCTTGAGGCGAACCGCAGACTTGTGACTAAATTAAATCGACTTATAAATTAAAAAGAGGAAAAATAATTATGCAAGTATAATACTTATATGCTATCATGCAGTAAATGGATTTTCAATAATCTAAATTTATTTGGGCCTTTTCTTTTCTCTAGCGTACAACTCCTCCCCTATTATAGTTTTTGTGTCAAATATTTTGATATTCAAATAGACTCCCTCCTAAGTCACATCTAAATGAAGATAAACTCGTGCAAAAATGATGGGCTTTACTTCCTACACTATATAATTAAATCAATTTTTAACGGAGAGCTCACATCTCAAGCCCACTCTCAGCCCACTGTGCAGTGTGATTGCCGCTGCGTGAGACATGCCTACAAATGGCCCAACAAATGAACGTCGCTGTCGTGGACTTCATCAATGGATTAATTGATTATTTGTTGTAGCCCGGCCGCGCCGGACTGGCCTAGTGATGGCGATAGCGATGGCTTCGGCGACATGGTCTTGAAATGAGTTCAGTTTCCGATGGATATGGGGAGGGGGAAGAAAAGAAATAAAATATACGATGGCGGCGACGATGTGTGGGACGCTTAGGCTATCGCCAGCTATCGGATATGATTTAGTCGCAGCGGAAATGTGGCAACCGACCACACACCGGCACCGACACACACGTATATAAACTTACATGCACACTCTAATGGAGTGACTAAGACTTCGACAGCTATGAGGGGTAATTTGCATTTGGGGCAGTTCAAAGTTTCAACTAGCAACTTGCATTTTTGGACAAAGTTCAAGCAATTAAGTCAGTCACTTGACCAAATGCAAAATGTTTCCTGTGGCGATTAAACAACGACAACGACAAAAACAACAACAACGACTATAGCAATGAATAAAAAGAGTGCAGAACTTAACAGGTTTTACTTTTTGTGATGACAATGACGACGACAACGACGACGACCAAAGATGACGAAAAACAGAAAATGACAAAAACACTGAAGACGAGACCCCAATGACTACAACTCATTTAGTGCCATTACAAAAGCGGCTCGCCCATCATGGCCCGCCGCCCTTTAGCCCCCGACACCGCCGGCAGACACCCTGCTCTCTATGCCGTTGCATGCTACAATACAGACAATGAGCAGTGGGTAATTGTCACACATATGCAGGGCAGGATGATGGGCCAACAAAGAAATCCTTGAAGTGTGACAGTAGGAAGCAGAAAGAAACAAAACACACGAAAAACAAAAAAGGAAAAAAGAGATGAGCGACCGACCAAGTGAAGTGAAGTGAAGTGCATGGAGCGCAAAGTAAATGAAAGGCGAGTGGCAAGTGTACAGCTGGACAGCTGTACAGCGGGACAGGCGAGCGACGACGGACAACAGAGAACAGACCGGTTTACATTTTCATTCATACACATACGCTGCGAGCCCAACTGCCTATCCCTGTGCCTATGTCAGTGGCCAGTATTGAAGGAATGAGTGGTATGAGTAATACAGTGCGTCGTAATTGTCAGCGGTCCACAAACTGTACGCAAACTAAACTAACAGCTTAACCGCAAACGTTGGGCGCATTGATGTGCTGACCATAGTATGCCAGGATGATGATAATGATGTCGTCGATGGGGATGATGATGATCCTGTGCTGGTCTAAAAGTTAAGTGAGTGCTGGCATAGGCCGAAAGCTTGCTAATAGTTTTGAACGGAGACAGGCTTACTTTGCTGCTGCCGTGTGGCAAGCGAAGCGCAACACCGGATGTCGCACTAATGGTCAACTCTACTGCTGGCCAAGAAGACAACAACCAGCAACGACTGTGGAGAGAGGGAGAGCGAGAATGTGTGCGCAGGCCAAGTAAGTAAGCAAGCAACTGACGCTTTGTAAGTTAAACTATCTACAAGTCATTAACTCATACAAAGGCAGCAAACAGGCAGTCCACACAGCAGGCGGCAGTCCACACAGCGCCTAGACCAGGGCTACTGTGGCAGTTGACCAAGAGCCTGAAGTGGCTCTACTCGTATGTTTGAGCCTCAGATTGGGCCTGGGTTGTTGTAGCGCCTGCCAGCTAGCTAGCACACGTTTTGCTTTTTGTTTTGTTGCCGCCACTAGCTGTTTCTATTTTTTCTCGCACGTTTTATATTGCGTAGCCAGCCAACCCGAGCTGGAACTGATGCTGCCGATGCTGCCAATGCTGGCTGGTCGCAGCGGGACAAGAAGAGGCCAGACTGAGGCGCTTATCAAGACCAGTTTGCAGCAACAGCAACAGCAACCTTTTCTGTCTGTTTGCCTGCAACTTCAACGCGTTAATGGAAAATATTGTGGCATATCACAGGAAATCCGGTGAGGTTTTTTCTTCACTCTCTATCTCTGGCAACTCCTTTGGCAACTTGTTAGTGCCAGGACACTTAACAGGCACAGTGGCAGGCATGGACACTCACACGCACACGTTTTTTATACGACTATGTATACTCATATCTGTATGTATAGATGTATGTTTGTATGTATGTATGTTTGTATGCCGCTTCACTCTCTTCTGACTTTGACAAAATTAACGCGTCCATAAATCTCACTTTTGGGGGCCAAACACGACGCGCCTTGCCACTTCTGTGGCTTTGTGCTATAAATTTAATTAAAATTTTTTCGGGCCAGTTTTTTGTTGTTGTTGTTGTTGTTGGATGTTTTGGTCGTTGTTGCAACAAATGTGTTTTATGATATTGATTAAACGGCTTTGCCAACACCATTTATTGTTCGTAGTAGGAATTGTTTTTTGTTGGGGCGGTTTAAATTGTTTTAAATTTGGCTGCGGACTTAAGCCTTTTTTTTGCAGTAGCCATGACAATTATTTTTAACATGCGGCTTAGGGACTTTACACACATACATCTATAACTGTATGCGAACTCGGGTGTGATTGTGTAATTGTGTGGGTGGGCTAAGTGCTTAAATGGTTGAAACATTTTGCAGAGATTTAAAAGGGAAGAGCGACGACGAACGTGTGTCGGCTGCTTTCCGTCTAATGGAATCTGCTAATATGCGGCATTTAAACGCTTGAGCTGGAAATGCTGGCTGGTGATTGCCAAGCGTGGGTGGATTAGCTGGATCAACGGCAGAAATGGAAAAAGATGAAAGAATAAAAAGCCTCTTAAATCCATGCAGAAAAGTGGTCTTGAAAGTAGAGAAGAAATTAGAACAATGTTTAAACTGAGCCCATTTTAGAACGCCTGCATAAATTCATAGAGTAGCACTGAAATGTTAGATGCAGCCCAAGCTGAGTATGATTTAAATTTTTTGGTACTTTAATTCGATTATTTAACCGTGTCAGGGAGCGGCAATTTCCTTCCTTTCCTGTCCCCTTATTCTAATTGTTTTATATCTTAACAAGTAGTTTAATCCTTGCTAATTTTTTAAAGTATTACATTGCTATGAAGTAATTTCTAATCATTCAGTCACATGGCCTTTGGTCGGGCACCATATGCTTATCTCAGTAAGCTAAAGAATTTCAATAAACTCCCATAATTATTCCGGAATAACTCAGCTTCTGCTCATTGCCACTCTGATCCCAGGTGCTTCTTCAAATGCTATTCTTTTCACACAAAACAAGAAAACAAAAAACAAATAACTCATTTGCTCATCGCTGTCCAACTGTAATGGCAGTTTTGGCCTCGGCAACGACCTCCAAATCTTCATTAATATTTTTTCAAGCTGCACCCTTCTGCCGATAACCGCCTCGCCCTTCCTCAACTAGCTTCTTTAGGCAGTCTTTAGTCTTGTTTGCAAGCAAGCAAATTTCTCACAAATTGCCGAATTACCCAGACTTGGACCCATTTGTGTGCGTTCGAAGCCTGCACTGATTGAATTATACAAAATTTGCAGACAAACAAATGGGTGCCGGCTATAAGCCAGCCATGTCAATGGTCACACGCCTCAAACGCTGCCTCCAGCCCATTGCACACCCCACTGCTTCTGCACCACCAATACTCTCCAGATACCCTTCCCCACTGATGCTTGGCCACTGTCGCAGTTAAACTAATCAACTAATTTGCTATGAACTTTGCGGTCTGCAGAATAGACCGGAGTGGAGCGGAGCAGAGTGGAGCGGAGCGGAGGGGACAAATTGAAGACGACCTCAAACGCAAACTGAAATTCAGTGCCGGTTGCTCGT